GTTAAGAACTGGCTTGGGACGCCAGAGGGCCCCGGTTCGGATCCCACATATGAGGGCCAGTGACACTGCCCTCTACAGCTAAGATGCTAAACAACAGCTCAACCTGGAGCTGGGCTGCCCTGAGTCCCCGATGTAGGCTGCAGCCCCTGTGGCAGTGGGTTGCCATGGGCTACCGTGTGTAGCCAGCGGCCAGCGTGAGCGGCCAGCGGCCGCCGTGAGCGGCCGTCCAGAAGCCGGGGACTGATCTGCCTCACCCGGAAAGAGCACAATGATGGTGCCAACTTGGGCCAGTGAAGCAACGTCCTCCACATCTAGACTGAAGAACAAAACGACAGCAACTTGTCTGTTCCCCTTCCCCAATTCCCCAACACAGTTCCCATCCCCCCAATTCCCCAATAAAAATCTTAAGAAAAAAAAAAAAGATACACGATACAGGCATTTCACTCCTCCATATTTACCCAAGAGGAATGAAAGCCTTTTAGTGTTCTTTCAAACGTCTGTCCATCAATGTTCATAGTAGCTTTATTTGTAATCGCCTAAAACAGGAAACAACCCAAATGTCCACATCACTCAGTGATAACAAGCAATAAATTTTTGGTACACAACACCACAATATGAATGAGTCTCAAAAAAATTTTGCTGAGTGAAGAAGCACCGCTTCCCAAAAGAATACATACTGTTTGATTTCATTTATATAAAACTCTAGGATATGCAAACTAACACATATTGACGGAAAGCAAAATGGTGGTTGTTGGGGGGATGGGAGAGGATTACAAAAGGGCATGAAAAGAACAACCAAATACATTGAACAACCCAATTCAAAAGAAAGAAGGTACCCAGAATCTAAAGAACAGAATAAGTGAGCAAACTAATTAGAAACATCTCAGAGATGTAGAGAGAAAACTGAGGGTTGCTAGATGGGAGGGGGGTGGGGATGAGGGAGAAGGTGAGGGGATTAGAGAGCACAAGTTGGTAACCACAAGATTGCCATGGGGATACGAAAGACAGTTTGGGGAATATAATCAATAATGTAAAGATTTTGTAGGGTGTCAGATGAGCAATTGTCTTATTAGGGAGACCACTTCATGGACGGTGTAGATGCCTGACCACTGCAGTGCACATCTGAAGCTGAAGCTGAATAATACTGAATGTCTACTATAATATCTATATAGTCACAGGATGTGAAGTACAGCACAGGGAATAGTCAATGGAATCGTAACAGGTATATACAATGTCAGAGGGCTAGTAGATTGCGGGGGAGGGTTATCACCTTGTGAAAGGTGTAAATGTCTACTACATTGTTTTGTACACCTGAAACTAATAAAGAGAGATAAAGAGAGAAAGAGAGAGAGAGAGAGAGAGAGAGAGAGAGAGAGAGAGAGAGAGAGAGAGAGAGAAGGTACCCTGGATTGTAGGAAATTGCTTTTATCTAAATAAAACTAGCTAGCAGCTTTTGTTTGAGATAAGCTTTGGTCTGGGTGCAGCGTTTATACTGTCTCTAAATATTTTCCCTTGTGTAATTTTTAAAGATAGCAAAGGATTAAATAGTGCTCACTGATATACCATGGCAACTGGCAAACGCACATAGATAAACACAAAGCAACCATTCACACTTCCAGGGCATCTAACTGACATCCAAGCAGCAGCTACACAGGCAGAAAGCACCACAAGAAAACAGTGACAGCTTTTTAAAAACCATGAAATGACAAAGGACAGCAAAAAATGTTTCTGATAAAATCTTATTCATGTTTCCATAAAAGAAATTCTAATGTGTGCATAACGGAATGAGAAGGAAGGAAAAAGTCACGTTTCGCATTCGACATTTTTACACCTGAGTTATCCATATACATTTACGGTTTTACGGAGCTAAGAAGTAAAGCCACCAGGGAAAAATGCTAAAGGTATGTTCTTTTCTGTAAGTCAATTTATCACTACATGTGCTCTCATTTCCTTCCATCCATTTATCTTTTCACACTGCCAAGAACAGCCCTGGGAATAATCACCTCCCACGCCAAACACTGGGGATATGATAATTGGCCTCTGATGATGGGAAATGACATTTTTAAATAGTCACTTTCAACTTGGTACCATATATTTCATCTTTAACCATGTATATCCTGCTTTAACTCCTAGATTTTAAAAGGAGGGAGGGAATATATGTAGAAGATGGCCCAAGAGCAAGCACTAATTCATCGAAAACTTTGTTTTGCTTAAAGAAAAACACTGCAACCCTTTAGGTCAAGTGTCATTTTGTTAACAGTGATCTTAAAATACAAGAAGTTACTGTCTACCTGTCAAAATGACTTCCTAGTTAATATGAATCAAGGGTTGAGGTTTTGAAATATCATAATACTAAGAAATCTAAAGGAAATAATTCTTTGCTGTATTGAGAAACGCATACCATGTGTCATTTGCGAGTGAGATGCTGCTACCACTTTATAGAAAGTGGTAACATATGTGAAGGAACCAATTTGGACCTTCACCTATTGCTTCTTACAAGCTCACAATACTGCAAAGAACCCAAGCAAGTTGTCCCGTTTGATACCGACACACTCACACCCGTGACACGTCTCCACCAGCTGGGCAGCCCTCGGCCATGCCACCACACACAGCGTGTGGCTGATTATTTCTGCCTCCCCACAACCAACTCTACACAAAGTTAAAAACGAGAGACTTGAGCAAAAGCACATACTGTTCCCATAGCCCAGTGGCACTGAGGGCTGGCTCACTCACAAGCAAGCAGTTGTTTGCAGAACTGTTTGCTCAAGACTGCTTAAATACAAAGGAAAAGTTATCTTAGGAGAGCAATGAGCCAGACACCCATGTGCAGAGGGAGGCACGTGCAAAGATGCACGAGTAGCTGTGTTTGTAATGAAGAAAACTCAGAAACAACCCAGGGGGCTAACAATAGGGGATTTATTAAAAACGCTGTGGCAATCACCCAGCGGACTAGAATGCAGAAGTTAAAAGGAATGAGCTAGCTAGCGTCATCGGGAAGGACAGGACTGGACCTCTGGTGCTTTACAGCATAAAAAAAGAGACATGTAAAGTAACATGTACACTATGATACCATTTGTGGGGAGAAAAATCCCACCCCAAACAGTAAATTTCCTGTGCATAAACATGTATCAACACAAAAGCAAAGAAAAATATATGGAGAGATCTAAAATAAACTCATAATACTGGTCACTGGGAAAAGGAGGGAGAGGGAGGGAGAGAGGGAAGTGAGGGCTGGGCGATTAGGGTCCCCTGCTAAATGCAGAACGAATAATAACAAGCAGTAATTTCATTCAGTTACTGGCTACCACATTTACATACACAAAGCTGTGTCAACTCTGTGTGTTCCTTGGGTAATCTGGTGGACCTGTTTAGAGTCTCTGGGAAAAACAAAAGGGAAAAAAAAGAACACAACTTTGTATTATTCATAGCTGCCCACTTGGTCTTATTCTGTTTCAGGAGTGAACCAGTTGAAACACACTTTCCAAGACTGGAGGCTCTAAGATTGACTTGACTGAGGTGATTCCAGGGCATCTGAACCACTGTCATTTTTCTGCAGAAAAATTTCTTTTTCGTCTTTACAACATTTTGTGTGTGGTTGGCATCATCTGTTCACAGTGATGACACAATAATCGCCTAAGCTGGAGACCATTACTTCTTCTGAAACTTGTCACAGCAGTTTACAGGCAACACGTCTGGCTTCCCTCCTCACCTTGCGGTGTCCCGTGGGGGGCCCACATGATTCCTACCCGGGGCAGGGATCTGTGCTTGGATGGAGTGCCAAAAGGAGGCAAACATGGCTCCCAAAAACATTCCAGTTACTCTTCCACTGAAAATCACGGGGAACTCACATCATGAAATGCCAAAGAAATGAATTTAGACCCCAAGACCCACAGGCCCCAGCAACAAACAACTGAAATATTCATGGACAGGCAGGCTCAATAGTGTTACGACAGCAAGTTCCCCCAAACTCATCTATAGAGTCAGCACAATCCCGATCAAAATCCAGCAGGCATTTTGTAGAAAGGGATGAATTGATTCTAAAACTTATATGGAAACGCCAAGGACGAACTTGGAGGATTTACGATACTTGGTTTCAGAGCTCCTCATAAAATACAATAATGAAGAGTGTGGTGATTAGTATAAAGATAGACATGCAGGTCAGTGGAACACAAGGCGAACTCCAGGCACAGACCACACAGACGCAGTCAGTCAACTGACCTGAGTGTTAAAGGAACTGCGGCAATCCCAGGGAGAGGAGATAATCATTTCAGCAAACGGTGCTGGACAGCCACATGGGAAACAATGAATGGCAAGCCCCACCTGAAACCGCACACAAAAATTAACTCAAAAATAAATCACACACCTAAACATAAAGCCTAAAATGATAAAAATTCTAGGAGAAAACCTTCATAACCTAGGTAGACAAAAGATTTCTTAGGACACACAAAGCATGACACACAGAAGAAAAGCACGGGTAACTTGGACTTCATCAAAATTAAACACCTCACTACTCCGACATCCTTAAGGACATGAGAAGGCAAGCCACAGAGGAGAAAATATTCACAACACATCTCTCTGACAAAAGACTTGTATCTAGAATATACAACGAACTCTGAGGGTCGCTAATCGGAAGACAAACAAGGTATAAAAATGGGCAAAAGACTGGAGCAGACACTTCCCACAAGATGTAACAAACAGCTACGAAGCACATGGAAAGGTGCTTCCCACCACCCATCATGAGGGAAATGCAAATTAAAACGAGATACCACCACACACTCACCAGAAGAGCTAAAATTAAAAAGACAGGACGGGAAAGAGGGAGTCTCCGGAAGTCGTTCCTGGTGGAAGGAAAAATGGCACCACATCGCCTGGCTCTGGGGCCTCCTGTCCCCTCTGTCCACCCAGGTTTATATAATCTGCCTGTGCCCACCAAGTATTTGAGGTGCCCAGCCTGCCTGAAATCACTGAGTTGATCAAATCAACACTAAAAGGGGGCTGTGTTTTGTCTCCGGTCCTGGCTTCAAAACCTGCCATCACTAACAATGTTATGATTAGCTAAGTGAACCTTCCCGAGCTAAAGCCTTGACTTAGGTAATTAGCAAAAAAAGCCTGCTGTCATTATCTCAGGTGGCCTAACTATCCAAGCCTGAGGGTTGGGTTTTTGGGTTTTTTTCCCCCTCTTCCTTATGCAAATGAATTTCTCCAAGAATATAGCAGAGCAGTGGTTGTCAAAGTGAGGGTCGGAACCAGCCGCATCAGCATGACCTGGGGGGTTAGGAAGGCAGAACCTCCACCAGGCCCAGACCTCCCGGGTCAGTCTGCATCTTCATGAGATGTGCAGGTTCGAGAGAGAAGCCCTGGGAGGCCACAGCTAAGGCGCCATTGAGGTAACAGGAGAAAGCCCCTCACAGATAAAATGGATGCAATCCTTGCTCTGTAGAGGCAGCAGGCGGGAGTCAGCGGGGCCAGGACCCGGGAGGGCGGGGCACCAGCTGCAGCAGGAGTTGTCCCTGGAAAGGGTCAGTGTCTTGGAGACATCTTCCTTTTTTCAAGCAACGTCAGCTGTGGCTAAACAATTAAGATGCTATTGGGTTGTTGGAAAAGTCATGACGCATAGAAAAAATACGTCATGACTTTTCCAACAACCCAATACATCTCAGTGGGGTTTGGGCGAGTCACAGACCACAGGAAGAGAACCAAGGAAGTAAAAACCACTTTAAATCTTCTAAGACCTACAGGAGGCCTGTTTGAAAGCCTGAAAAAAACTTGTGACAGCCCTTTCCCAGAGACACACACATTCATTTCACATACTCTTGGGGAATTCGCAGATTTCCTGGTCTTGAGTGTACGTTAGGAATTCCTGCTTTGGGGACATGCAAACAGAAACAAAGAGGTACAGAAAACGAAACAAAACAGATCTAAAACTAACATTTTTTTTTCTAAAATGGAAAAAAGCGATGAAGTCTCAATACAAAAGAAATGTAGATACTTATAAATTATTCAGATCTAGGCAACTTAATCATACAGATGGAACAAGAAGATCAAAAGTATTCTATCACGTCACCTGATCTTGTCACCAGATCAGTTTTGACACTTTCTCACGTAAAACATCACCTTCCCAGACTCTTCAAAGCACCACTGGCTTCACTCAACTCTGGTTTCTCACCCTTAGATTTGGGAGGCCTAGAATCCTGTCACAATTATTTGCGTGCCATCAGAACCCACCTGCCCCAGGGACTCTGTAAGAGCGCAGGAAACATTTCTTCCCATAAAGGTGAACAAAGGACAGCTCCTTCTAGCTGAGAAGTTGCAAGTTTCTGCTTGATTGGGGAAAGGTCTATAAGAAGTTCCAATGCCAGAGCTGTCCCGACACTAGGGTCGGCGGGCACCGGCCAAGGAGTTTCCCAGAACCATATGGAAGAACCACGTTGAAAAGAATTCCACATGTTAATTCCTTCTACAATATTTTTTAAAGACCTACCTTCTACAGCACCATTCTAGAACACCGGAGCCAGGACAGGCGGGCCCTCCATCCAGGTGTCCATGATCTGTGGCGTCCCCGGGCTCTTCACACCTGTAAGATAAGTAGGTCAGACCACCCAGCACCTGTGCTCTCTACTTGAGGGCTCAGAGGGTGGAGGGTCAGCCTCTCTCAGCACCCCACCCCCACCCCCGGATACCTCGGGCATCCCACCTGCCCATCAAGGTACAGATGCACCTCTATCATTCAACTCCCTCCCTTCTTCCCTCCCTCTGAAGACAAAGCTGAAAACAGCACCTGTTAGATTTTGATTCGCATTCCACCTGCCAGTGAATTCTGGGCTCAGCTCCCATGTGATTTTTCTCTCATGTGCTAATTTCTTTCATTTTTTATAAGTCACTGTCACTTTTGCACAATAATTCCAGCAACTCAATGAACACCAAAAAAGCAGGGGTACCATGGAACCAATTTTATCATCAACTAGTCGGAAGCAATGCTCGGTAACGCTTGTTTTAATTCTGAAAATATTCTCCAATTTTTTTTTTTTAATTAGGGAGCTGCAGTGAGGTTTGCATGCTGATATCAAGCACTGTGGGTGCAATGTCTCAGGGCTCCTGTCCCAGGCAGTGCCTGACAGTAAATATCGGGGCCTTTTTCACTCCTTTGCCCAAACCTTGACATTTAAAGCAATTTGGTGAACACGACTCCCGGGCATTTTTTAAGTTTCCTATTCGCCTGCCTGGTGAGCTGCGGACATTCCTCATATTTATCTCCATATACCCTACAAGCACCACTTTTGCCAGGCGGCAAAGATGCACGTGGCAGAATGTTCTGTGCTGCAAAAACTCTGCACACAGCTCAAGGTCTAATTCCCAGCAACTGATTAAATCAATTGTGATACAGTCACTCAATTGAAAACAAGGCAGCTACAAAAGAGAATACAGTAATTCATGCATAATATTATATGTTCTGCAGTTTATATAATTTACTATATAATAGTGAGATTCCACCTTACATTAATACGTTATTAATTATATTAAATAATGTCTGTATTATTTGCTGTGATCATACTGTATTATGTACCACAAGCCGCTGTATTACTTAATACAGCATACATTAACTCATGAAAAATCAAAGTACAGGAGAGCTGTAAATTAATCCCATTTGCTAAAAAATAAAAGGGCACGTTTGAATCTATAAACAGGCAGGTGCGCATCATTATCAGGAGCGGTGGGACTCAGCCTTCCCCGCGCAGCAGCATCACCTGGAGGGCTCGTTAAGACCCAGGTTGCTGGGCTCCGCCCACAGGTGTCATCGTGCAGGTGTGGGTGAGCGGGAGACGCCGCGTTTCTAACCTGCTCCCAGGTGAGGCTGCTGGTCCCGGGACCCGCGCCCACCCTGGGCTACACCGGCCACCTGGGGGAAGAGCCGCTTTGGGGTTTTCGTGTCAGAAAACTTACGTGTTCCTTCAACAGCGCTTGCAGAGGCGCCTGCTCGGCGCAGAGCAGTCGTGCGGACCGCCCCGGGGTCCTACTAACGAGAACGGCCACCGTTCCTCCGCCTAGAGGGTGCCTCGCCCTAAAGGGGAAACTGAGGCTCCGAGGCCGGTCGTCCGGGGCCGCGGGGAGAGTCTGGCAGACCCGGGTTTCGAACACTCGTCTCCGAGACGCCGGCCAGCGTCCCGCCCGCTCCCGAGTTCCGGGCACGCCTCCGGACCAGGCCCTGGGGACCCCCAGGGACTCCGGGCGCGGGCATGCGGGGGGTGCCGAGGGAACCTTCGGGCCGGGCAGGTCGCCGGGAGCCCGCGGGGAGGAGCCGGCGTGCGGCCGTTGGAGCCCCGCCTTCTATCCCGGCCGCGGCGAGAGGGCGGGGCCGCGAGGGCCGGGCGCGCGCGCGCTCACGTTCGTGCTCGCGCTCGCGCCCGCCAGGCCGACTCACGGGAGCGGCGCCAAGATAGAGGCGCTCGGAGCCGCCATTCTAACGCAGGCGCGGTGGCCAAGTGGTAAGGCGTCGGTCTCGTAAACCGAAGATCACGGGTTCGAACCCCGTCCGTGCCTGCCACTGGGTCTTCCTCGCGCGGAGGGGAGACTTTTTAGGGATGACCACCACTTTTCCAAAGTGTTCATCAGTAATCTGCACCACCTGGATTTCGCGTTCAGATCCGAGCCGACCGGACCCACTGTTTTCACCCCAGTTTGGTTTCAAACTCTTCTGCCCTCGCAGGCCGGGTGGCCCAGCCAGGGCACCACAGATTCACCACGCGGGACATTGCCCCCTACTGCGATCCCTGGGCACCTGGTGCTCTGGGGAGGGGGGGGGGAGGGCTCCGGGTGGGCCGGGGTCGCAAACTCCAGTGTCCCAGGGATCGCCTGGGAACCATGCACCCCGCATGGCCCATCCCCCTTCGGGCAAGACAGTCAAGAGCCACTAAGCGCTTTTCTGCACACTGAAGTCCCGTTTTGTCCTCTAAAGAGAGAACTGCTGTTGCCTGACACAGGGCCCACACCCAGAGTCCGCTGGCGTCTGGCTTGCTATTTTAAAAAGGAAATCCATTGTAGCTACTGCGTTAGAGAGAGGAAATCCTGCCCAGGCTGGCAGCAGCTCTGACATAAAAACAGAACCCTCTCTCGCTCTCTCTCTCTCCGGGCCTCCGTTTGCCCCTCTGTAAAATGGGTCTCCGGAAAGCAGCTGCCAGAGTGACAAGGCTCAGTAAATGGAGCTACCATCCTATGACGGTGGCTTCTTTCTCTTTGCACCATGAAAGGATGCGTGGGCTCCTTGAAGTCATTTAAAGAGATTATGCCACGGCCTCAGTCTCCAGCAGCTGGGGTGTTGCATGAGCTGAAAACTTGTATCAGCCCAAGGTTCCTAACTGAAGCAAGCATTCACGGAGCTCCTGGTGTATGCCTAGGGAAGCCGGATCTGGGGGTTCCTCAGTGAACCAGCCAGATCAGGGCGGGCTCTCTCTGACAGAGAAGGGGGAGACGGATGTGACGGGGCCTGGAGCCTGGCTGGAGCGGCCAACGGGTAAGTGTCCCAACTCTTAACACTCGAGGTTCACAGCACCCCTGGAAGGGCTTGTTAAAACACATCGTTGGGCCACCTCCGGAGCGGCTGCACTCAGGAAGTCTGAGCTGGGGCCTCGTCATTTGCATGTCTAACTACCTCCCAGGTGGTGCTGATGGGCGGGCCGCTACTGTCCGAACCACACTCAGACCTCTCTTCCGGAGACAGCCATATTCTAAAGCCGCAGTCTAAACCCAGGAGCACGTGTTTGCATGTATACACATATGTAAGATAACACAGATAAAAACAGTGAACGACCGCCAGGGCTTCTCACACTCAACCCAGGGATCGCGTTAAAATGCAGGTTCTGACTCTGTCGTCTGGGGTGGAGCCTGGGACTCTGCGTTTCTAACTCGAGGCTGGCGGAAAGCTGGTGCGGCTGCTGCCCGCCCTCCCTGAGTAGCCAGGGGACAGAAGGATCCACACCCAAATAACAATTGTCGCCTCTCCCGAGGGAAGTAGCGTGGGGGAACTATTGAAAGGACTCCACTTCTCACCCTGTAAACTTGCATATGGCTTGCATTTTCTACAAGATGCCTGTATCACATGTGTAATTTTCTTCCCCCCAGAATCACCTACAAAGCCCACCAACACAAAGATAACCTATTAGAACCATCCAGAATTAAGACAGATAAATGACTGAGCGATCCGTTCTCTCCACCGAGAAGTCCACTCATCTGTCTTTTAAGAACTGCCACAAAAGAACGCTTAAGTTCCTCCCATTAAAAAATAAAAAGGACCACACTGCCCCCCACAGGTAGGCCAGAATCTGGGGAGCTTGCCCACACAGATTTTCCGGTCCTCCTCAAAGAGTGAAGCAGCACACCCCTGTGACATCATCCTAGGAAAGAGCCCACTGTCATCCACCCCCACCACTGCTCCCACCCCACCCAGGGCACCTCACTGTCTGCCCCAGGGGAAGAGTGGACTTTAGAAAAAGGCATTTTACATAATGTACTGTAGGTACCATTTATGCTTCCCCCCCCCCAAATTGTGCAAAATATCTAAGGGTAAATATTAATGCGTGGAGACCTGTTTGCTGTTCTGTTTTCTTTTTAAGCCTGGAAGATTACACATGAGTCCCCAAACTGTCACCTCTGGTTGAAATCTGGAGTGCCACAGAGCTGTAAAACCATTTTCCACTCGCTGCAGAATCAGACACTACTGAGCAAAATCCTGATTTTAGGTCCTGTTAACACTTAAATGGGTAAAGTGCCTAAATAAGGAAGATGTTTTATGTTGATTTAAGCCGCTTGTGTTTGTGAACACCAGGGGTGTCAAAAATATATATACAAGTGGACACTTTGGTCAACGTTGCTCAAGCAGTAGTTCACCATCATCAGAAGTGTCTGGACGCTGATGGGGACCACTTTGAGCACCTCTTGTCATTGCAGAAGTCAAACGTGACTTGTACTCACCTTTTGTTATAGGTATATATTAAGTATTACAATTTTAATACAGTTTTCCTTAAAATGTGTATACATTTTTTTTGGCACCCTCTGGATATAAAGCTGTTTGGATTTCTGTGATTTTTGTATGAATTTCATGTCTGAAAGTCACCTTGAAGTTGGCAGTCTTTGTTCTGTGAAGAATCACTCTCTGGTCTCCCCTAGATCTGTAAAGGGAAGATAAGAAGGCCCCCTGATGCTGGAATTGGGGGGAAGAGGCAGGTATAACAGCCCAGAGGGACCCTCTGAGACCTCACTGTGCAAACTTGACCACTGGGGAGCAAGTGGATTTGTATAAGAAGCCCAGGGTTTTCTGGGAAAGAAGAAATTAAACTCTTCCAGCCCACCTCCTTGTTATTCAAAGTTAGAAAGACCTGTAAGGATAGACCATGATGGTTAGTGGCAGAAAAGGGTTTCATAGGACTTTTGAAACCGTAGAGGGAGCCCAAGATCCTCGTGTGAGCAGGAAAGGCTGTGTGTCAACAGAGGCTGCACAGCAGCAAGTTGCAACAGTGCCACCATGTGGCAGCATGTAGCAAGGGCAGCGCTAGAGTGATTCTGTGCCCACATCCATCAGGAACGGGAGGGAGCCACGGACCCACCACTGAACCTCTCTGTGCCTCAGTCTCTCCCATTCTACAATTGGAATGACACACATTCACTGGCTTCCCCTCTCATGCAGTTCTCCTGACGACAACCTTGTAAACATCCACTGGCCAGGATGCCAATGCTGATCCACCCACCTCATGGCATCATGGGCAGCCATTAAAAGAATGACTGATTTATTGATCTAAGGGGTGATAATGCGATGCCATTAAAGGAGAAAAGTTGATGTCCTGCTTTTTGGGGTTTTGTTTTGCTGCTCTATTGAGGTATAATAAACTGCACATATTTAATGTACATAACTTAGCAAGTCTGGACGTGTGCATACACCTGCGATACCATGACCACGGTCAAGGTAACAGACATACCACCTCGGAGTTTCCTGCACCCCTTTGCTTTTTTTTTTTTTTTTTTTTTGCACATGCGGTAAGAACACTTAACACGCCATCTACCCTCTTAAACAAATCTGTCAGTGACGCTACAGTATTGTTAACTAGAGGCATTGAGCTTATTCAACTTGTAGAACAATTACTTTAGTGGATGTCCTGTTTTTGTAAAAATAAATAAGCATATTTACCGATACACGTATGGATGTATATATTGGTTTCTCGGAATGTGAAGAAAGTCCACACCCCATGCGGAAGTTGCCACGTCGTGCTACTAACAATGAATATCTCCAGGTGGGGTGAGAGGTGGGGAGGAATTGCAGATGCAATGACTAATGCTTCCCCTAATAGCGTAGCATTGGAAAGAGAATCGATGTTCCTCTATGGATTCACTGCTTTTGCTGCAAAAACGTATAAAGCTAACAACAGAAAAAAGAATGTAAAGAGTAAACAGATGTCAGGGCTCTGAGAGCACAGGCGTTAACACAGAGCTGGCACTTCACGGGTAAGATGCCAAGCCTGCAGTGGAAACGCTTGCTCCTGTCTTCCGGGCTGACCCTCTCCAAAAAGAGGCCTCCAGGCCACTGCCCTGGCACGTCTCCCATCTGGGCTGACATCACACACTTGGAAAACCTACATTAAAGGATAAAAAAAATGGGACTCTTAATAAGGGAGTGAGTGGTTTGTAGTCGTGCATGAGCTGAGAACCACATTTCAAAACCAGAAGCGTATTTCAGGCATATGAGTAGCACTTAAGAGAAAATATTGTGGCAGGCCCCTGGAAGCAGCAGACGTTGTTTATGTCACATCAACTTGAGTTTTGCTTAGCAAATCACCAGGCTGGCGCATGATGAACATTTCCCAAGACTGTGCTCCCTTCGGCCCCCAACCCTGCCCTTCCAACTCAGGTGAGCGAAGCTGATTTTTACTTCCTGTGGGCAGAAAAGAACCCTGGAACCGGAGGCCTCGCTGGATGAAACATCTATCAATTCTTGAAACACACCCAGATAAGAAACCCACTTCTCCCTCTCAGAAGTATTGGCGGATAGGCTCTAGGATGTTCCCAGTTATCCTTGCCTTTGGGTATTCACACCCTTGTATAATTTTTACCTCTTAAGTGTGAGTGGGACTGTGACCTGCTTCCAACCAACAGCAGACAGCAAAGGTGACATGATGTCGCTTGTCTGTTACATAAGATGGCAACACCCATCTTGCTAGCCGACTCTCTTACCGGTTTGATGAAACAGGTAGCCATGTTGGGGAGGCCCATGATGACAAAAAATGGCGGACATCATCTGGCCAACAACCAGGAAAAAACTG